ATACGTTCCTCCGAAACGTCGGTTAACACCACATATACACGGTGCCAAATCCCAGAAGACTGCTTTCTTCATAGTCACCGCCGTGAAAGCCTCAAATCTTACACTTTGGCAATTATGTTTTTTTTTAAATCAGTCCCGGTCATATTTGAACCACCTTGTATGTATAGCTAACACACAACAGGATGCAACCAATGAAGATAGCCCACAACAAGTTACCTCTTTGGATCACCATCTTTTCTAATTTCCTCTTAGCAGCAGCTCGCTCCACAATCTGCTCATCAACAGTTCCAGCTGTCACAAATCGATACACAACAACTGGTCTGGTTTGGCCAATGCGATGGCAACGGTCTTGGGCTTGCAAATCCACTTGTGGATTCTGTAAATATATCAGATTAAATAGCTGGATACAAGAAACAGAGCCTGGGAATATACTTCAGAATGCTATGTGAGAAAAGGTCCTTTAAAACTAAGGGTACTTATCAAACTATAAGTCATCTTAAGATATAACATGACCCCTCCCCCAAGGTAAAGCTGTCCGTGCACTTCATTAAGCACTACAATGAAGTTGGAGTGGAGGTATAGCTCCACATATTATTAACCTTGTTACTTGATAGAGGTGAGTTGTCTGATTCATGCCCTGGCCTTTTTATTACTGTCTAAAGAGACCCCAGTAGCCACTGGGCAGAAGGCTGCATGGCTCCAGAGCTGATTTGGAAGTGTGGAACAGAAAAATATTTACTATAGGATTCTGACGATGGTGTATAACACACTGATATATTGGGTTTCTGGACTTTATCCATCGTCCTGGTTTTTAAGATAACAAATAAAAACACGACATTTCAGAAACTGGATCTGTTTCCGTCCTCAGGTGAAGGAAAAGGGAAACACCTATTCTGTTGGGTCCGTTAGAAAGAGCTAGCCTCAATCACTGGACCTTCACCTGAGGACGGAAACAGATCCAGTTTCCGAAACGTCGTGTTTTTATTTGTTATCTTAAAAACCAGGACGATGGATAAAGTCCAGAAACCCAATATATCAGAAAAATATTTCCCCCTGCCTGGAATCGTACTCCATAGCTCAGTCACTGCACTGAGCTATCAGCTATCCAAGCTCCAGTGACCCCCTTTTGCAGTGAGAAATTTATAATGAAGGAAAATAATTTTGTTCCATATTCAGAAGTTATTCTTACATATAATTCTACTTCAATTAAACCTCTTTTATACATCTTTAGTGGTCCATTCTGGGTTTACAGAATGTTTTTCTTTGCCTTTTCTTCATCACCAGACATTGGCACAAACAGTGCTACACTACCCCAATACCTTGCAACTGGATAGCGAAGTCAGTATAGTGACTGCCTACAGGCTGAAAGGCCGAAAGGTTGGAGTTCGAGCCCCTGGTATGACCATGATTTTTCTCTGGGGCCCAAACAGTCTCCTATTCAATAGGTACTGGAGGCTCTTTCCCCAGGGGTAAAGCAACCTGGGTGTGAAGCTGACCACTCACCTCTGACTACTGCCAAGGTCAAGAATACATGGACCTACACATCCATTCTCCCATATATTTTCAAGGCATAGTGCTTAATTAGCTAAGCACTGGGACAACTTTACCTTACCCTGCAACTATTAGAATCTTTGGATTCTTCAATGATCCAATGTACATTTTGAGAAAATAAAGGAAAACAAAGTGTGAACCCTTCTTGCTCTCACACAATCATCCATGATTGTGGCACTTTACCATACACCAGTGGTTCTCAAACTTTTTACCTCTGAGCCCCCCCTGACAAGAGAAAATACTCTCAGGCCCCCAGCCTGTTTTTTTATCAAAATAGAAGTCATGGTATGTTTGACGCTTTATTCAGTTTATTTTGTGTTTCTCTACATACTATTTAGCAGTTTTTTGCTCAAAATTAAAGTATCACAATATTAGGCCTATAATATAAATTAGTTTTAACATTTGTAATTAACCAAAATATGTTTTGAAATGAAACGATATTTAACTCACAACTATTTAATTTTTTCTGCAACGAAAATCAAACATATAAATGTCAAAGTTCAGTGTGATGGATGGACCTGCTTTTGAGAACAAAGTTTATCAAAACGTGGTGTAATATCAGAAATGGCCACTCTAACTGCTTTAGCAATATTTAGCGTTGAACGATACTTTGACTTTATAGCTGCCA